TGTTGTTTTACAAATGAGTGTTTAATTTCCCCTATAACTATGTCTCTTTCTATTTATAAGGGGACATGTGCCACAAAACCTTAATAATACAGATCCAGATCCAGAGAATATTCACTGGAATATTCTCTTTAAAGTCTTATCACAAAACTAGACGTTATTACTCTATTTAAAGAGAGTGCTCGTCCTCGACCTTGATCTCTGTTCACTTCTCGACCTAGTCCTTCATCTCTTCTCAAATCATTCCGACCTTGAATCTGCCTTTTGTTGGAGTCATACTGACGACACGTGGCAGCCTTCAAAGGTCTTCTTAATGCCGTCATGATCTACTAAGATAATGTTTTGCCCATACAACTTATACACAACAGTCGCCTCATTAATCTTAGATGATGCTTCTAACAATTACACTATGAGCAAAAGCTATTTGATGCTACAATTCCAAGATGATGTTAATTAATTTCTTCATCACATAGCTATTCTCTCATTGTATTTATGTTTTGCGAACGGATCACATAACATTAGATTGCTGATGTGTTTGGTGACAAAATGACAATATAAGTAACTCCATTCTGGCTTGTTCTGCTTTCCCTTCCTCCCTTTCCCAGAAAAAAGAGTTTTGCATGTATTTTATTTTTGTTGGTGCAAACCATTTCATGATAAATACTCTGATAAATTTTGTACAAGTAAATTCTACTTTAAAATTAGTCTAGTCCGTAAGAAGTGAAGGTATTTTCACTATTCAAATTGCCCTCTCTCTGTGTCCTAATAATTGACATATGGTATTTTCTGAAGTTGTTAAGCATATCTTGCAAACATTTTCAAATTTATATTTTCTGTTTGGAATAAGTTCACCCCTGCACATTATAGGGATCAAGTTTAGATTTTTACTATTTTTGATGACCGGGAAGAAAAAGTATCCCTGTTCGGTATCGTGTCCGTGTTGATTCTTTGTGTTAGAATGTGTTGGTGAAATTATAAGTAATTACAGTTTGAAAAATAAAATGAAGGAAATAAAATAATTTGAGGTTGAGGCGCGAATATGTCACTCTCTTTAAGGAGATTCAAGCCCACTGCAACAAAGTTTTCATTGGTCTAGCAGTAATCCTCTTGACTTGTCTCTCCCAGGATACAATAATCCGATTTCGTCGTCTGACTCGAATAAAATCTGGACAAGTTAGGAAAATTATAAGTAGTTACACTTGAAAATAAAATGAAAGAAATAAAATAACTTGAGGTTGAGGCGCGAATATCTCGCCCTATTTAAGGAGATTCAAGCCCACTGCAGCAAAGTTTCCACTGGTCTGGCAGTAATCCTCTTGACTTGTCTTCCCCAGGATACAACAACTCGATTATGTCATACGACTCGAATAAAATCTGGACACGTTGTTAAGTCCAAAGTTCCACCAAAATGAACGCCTTCCTCAACAAAATAATATTCTTTTTTGTAGATAATATGTTGGAGAGTTAGATTTTTCTCATTCTCTTAACTCTCTTTTTCACCACACCAATTTCACTTTTTTCATGCACACTACAATATTTTTTCATCTTCAACATAAAAGAAACACCACTATTTATAGGTATAAAATTTCTTCCATAGAATAAATATCAACGTAGTAGGATAATAAAATTATAAAATATGGTTGATGGTTACAAAATTTAATCTTTAGTGAGTAATTAGTGGTAGATCATGACATTAGTGGTTTCATGAGTTACACCAAAGTAATTGACCACGCTTTCTTGCCAATTTATAATCGCTATACCTCACAAGAAATAATAATAATAATAATATTATAATTTTAATATTAAAATGCAATAACACCACCAGAATATTTTGCTTTATTATGAAGAAAAAGAAGACAGAAATGTTAGCTTTGGCTCAATTATTTTTGCTAAGGATCTTTTTTCTGATTGTTATTTTGCATTACTTTTTAGTTTTAAGAAGCATATACTACTGAGGATCCTCTTGATTCCGTCACCCACCTTGTTTGTAAATTATATACTAACTAGTTAATTTGTCCGTATTTTGCGCGGTCATAAAAAGTGTACTCATANTTAGACTTTGAACTAATAAACAATAATAAAAAATAATTTCATTTTAATCCTCAAAATAAATGTAATTATCGTTTAAACCATAACTATGTGAAAGTTAAAGACATGTCAACAAATATCGGCTCTATGAACCATATATTTCTTGAACACGAGAAGTTTTAAGCTCATAAAGAGATGCTAGTAGCATTAATACCTCCCTTCTCAAATCCAGTTATACTTTCAAAATCTATTTGCCATCTCTATACTAACTTTTCACAAAACTTATAATTATTCTCACTCTTTTTTTGTTTTATAGGTAATTATTTGTCAGTTTTGCGTATAATTAAACTTTTAAATGAATTAGAACTATATATATAATTCAACTGATAGAGAGATCCTAGATCCAACTCTTGCACAACCAATGTAAAATCAAGTAAAAATACTTAAAGCAAAATAACTGATGTATAGGATATCCAATCATGTTTCTTAAACAGAAAATACAATACTATCATTGTAAAAATAGAATTCAATTGTGACGACAATGGGTTGAAAGGTCTTTTTCTATCATAATGGAGAAGCATATTTAATGGAGATAGAAGATATATAGTTGTTTTCTTCTAATGTGTTTTTCAAAAACCATATGTATGACCAGTGTAGCTAGCCGTGTATGCGTCTGCACTTAATGTTAGAAATTTTGAGCCTTCCGCCAAATTCACATCTTAACAGATTTTAAATGCTCCACTTAAACAGAAAACCTAAACTATTCCAATTCCAATATCTTGCTTGAACTTTGCTACGAAGCATTGACCACATCGTCCCCTGCACTTGCGTTTTTATTGCATAAATATTTGGCATTTAAAACCAACGGAAGTAGTGAAGCCTCTATATAAGAACATAACATGTATTGGGTACAATATGCCACAGAACGTGGCCATTGAAGAAGAGGACACGTGGAATCGAAGCCGGGAGGACGGAAAACCGGACACATCTACCCCGTGTGTCACCGAGAAAGGCAAGTCCATAAAAGCATTAAGCATGTTGCACCCGGTAGCATTCAATAAAGAATATTCTATAGCATTAAAGAATGACGGCCCACTACAGGAATTTGGGCATTTATGTTTACCGTAGGTTTCCATTATCGCACTTTAATAATTGTCATTAGTGGTGGGCCCGATCATTACGCCCACTGAGCTATAAATAATAGGCTCAACTATCATTGTAAGACACGACTTTCTGGGCATCAAAGAACATATTCTAATACAGCATCTCAATACTATTTCTCTCTCTAGCTTGTTGTTCTTGTCATCATCGTACCCGAAAACTCGTTCCAGGGATCTCCAAATCTATCATTTTATCTACATTTGAGCTAAGTATTTTGTACGAAAATTGATTAATTTATTATCTTTTGGGATCAAATTGATTCATCTGTCTAGAAACCACGAACAAATTCAAGTGTACCATTTTTCGGATAAACAGTTTGGCGCTCACCGTGGGGCCTATACAGTCGTGTGGTTAAGTTGATCCTTACCTCCTTCACTCACAAGCCTTGATCGTTCTTGTCTTAGCAAAATCACAAAGAATGGCAATCAATACAATTAACAACACTCACAATCCCGAGGTTCAAGGAGAACACCCCCATTTTGAGGACTCAATCAGCGACACTCGCAATGAGGGGTAAGATGCCACGCCGGTGTTTGACGGGCGGTACCCCAGACGAGCACGGGAAGCAACTCCAGATGATGCTGACCAGGGGCACGTAGCAGACGCAGTGAGGATCCTACAAGAGCAACAAGCAATCTTCTTAGGCCACCTCACGCGGCAGGATCAGGTCATGACGGAGTTAAAACAAGCACTACCGGTACTTCAAATAATGCAAATAGGTGAGATCCGGTTCCACCCGTTGTTCCTACAAATCAAACAACGCAGAGAGTCGACAACAATACTCCTAGGGCAAAGTTGGCTCCGACGGGCCTAGGGGAAGCAGATCTGGACTCAACAACGATAACGATTTGTTCAAGGAGGAACTCTTGTGGTTCATGAAGGAAGTAAACGCCTGCATGGACCAAATCCCGGAAGCACCCCCGGTATTAAAAGGCCCAAGCTCGAAGAAGTATATCCAATTACCGTACAAAACGAGTGCAGCCCCGGAATTAATCCTAAAACGATTCAGAATGCCTGATGTGCCAAAATACGATGGGACCTTAGATCCACAGGAACACTTTACCACCTACACAACGACGGTGAGAGGAAATGATCTGGCTCCTCACGAAATCGAGTCTGTGTTATTGAAAAGATTTGGTGAGACTCTCACAAGGGGGTTTTTGACATGGTACTCATTATTGCCCGAGAATTCCATAACTTCTTTCGAAATGCTCGCGGATTCATTCATCAAGGCCCATGCCGGCGCCAGAATGGTACAAGCCCAAAAGGCCGACATATTCAGGATCACACAAGGAGAATCTGAGCTATTACGAAGGTTCATTAGCTGGTTCCAGAAGGAAAGGACGTTGTTACGGGCCGTCCCGGAAGAATGGGCAGCTGAAGCGTTCACTAAGGGTTTGAACACTAGGAGTTGAGACGCTTCCCGGAAGTTGAAGGAAAGTTTGTTCGAGTTTCAAGCAACAACTTGGGCGGATGTCCACAACCGGTACGACCCAAAGATAAGGATCAAAGACGATCAGGCTGACTTCCCGTCATCAGCAAAGCGACGGGAGAAGAACAAAGAAAAAATAAAGGACGATGTCGACTCACATAGACAATTTTCATGGGGCCGGTTTCTGCCCTACGAGCAGACGAAATGTCATGACAGAAGTTTCTGGACATCAGACAAGTTCACCATTGACAGGAGGATCGATCGTGGGCGGAACAATAGATCACAGTAGGATAGAGAAGTTTCTGGACATCAGACAAGTTCTTCTTATCCAAAGTTATCAGAGTATAATTTTAACCTCAACGTAGTGGAGTTAGTGTCGACCATGAGCGATATCAAAGAGGCACGATTCCCGAAACCGATGAGGTCCGATCCCAACCATAGGGATCCAAATTTATGGTGTGAATACCACAACACTAATGGTCACCGGACTGGGGACTGTCGGCACCTCCGTGAAGAAGTGGCAACGCTGTTAAAACATAGTTACCTCAGGGAATTCTTGAGTGACCGAGCCAAAAATAATTACGTCCGCGACAAGAGCGACACCCAAACGTCGAGACTAGGAGAGGAACCTCCACGCCAAATGATCAACATGATATTCGGAGAGAACGATATTAATGGGATCACATTCTCGGCCGCGAAGAAGACAAAAGTATCAACAACCCACAGTAAGAGGCTCTGGGATGATGGTAGCACGTTCACGGATGAAGACGCGGACAGATTACTACTGCCGCACAAAGACGTGCTGGTAATCTCATTAAATGTGTTAAATTTCAAAATTAAACATGTTTTAGTAGATCCAGGAAGTTCCGTCAATATCATACAATGGAGAGTTCTAGATCAAGCTAAACTCACCGGGAGCATCGTTTCGACAACAAAGCTCCCTGATGGATTCAACCTCGCAAGCGTGACAAACCGAGGGGAAATTTTACTGCTTACGGATGCTGAGGGCATAAGGAAGACGGCTCTCTTCTAAGTAGTAGACGGGGACATGGGCTATAATATCATCCTGGGAAGGCCATGGCTGCACGAAATGAAAGTTGTGCCTTCGACGTACCACCAATCGTTGAAATTTCCAACACATGAGGGGATCGAGCAGATAAGGGGTGATCAACCCACAACAAGAGATATGAATGTGATCTCGATTTCCCATAGCAAGGGAATGGACCTGCGACATAGCAGTTACCGGAACCGACTTCCGACCCTGAGCCTGAAGAAGTTTTCCCGGGGGTAGAAGTGTGTCGGAGCAATATCATGTACCAAGGTATTTTCAAGTACCGGAGGAAACAAACGCAATGAAATCCACTGCAGAAGAGCTAGAGCAGGTTGCACTATTAAAAAAAAATCCCAGAAAGGAAATTCCATTTAGGAACAGGACTACACCCGGAGCTCAGGTCAGGTTTTATTGAATTCCTTAAAATTAACGCAAATTGTTTTGCATGGTCGCACGAGGATATGACATGAATCCCAACAGAGATAGTCATGCACAAGCTGAGCTTGGACTCGAGCATACCTCTGGTAAGGCAAAAGAAACGCCTTATTGCAGAAACAAGGAATAAATTCGTCAGGGTAGAGGTAACCCGCCTACTTAAGATTGGTTCAATTCGAAAGGTAAGATATCCGGACTGGCTAGCTAATGTGGTATTAGTTCCTAATAAAAACAAAAAATTTCACATGTGTGTAGATTATAAAGATCTTAATAAGGCATGCCCTAAAGACTCGTTCATATTGCCAAATAATCGATCAAATGATCGATGCTACAGTCGGGAACGAGTTAATGAGTTTCCTCGATGCCTATTCCCGGTACAATCATATCAAGATGAACCCAGAGTACTGGGAAAAGACTTCGTTTATAACAAATTTCGGCACATATTGTTACAACGTAATGCCCTTCAGACTAAAAAATGCCAGAGCCGCTTACCAATAGTTCGTAAATAAGATGTTCTAAAAACGAATAGCAAGAACTATGGAAGTATATATAGACGATATGCTCGTTACGTTTCTGCATGCAGATAATCACCTGAGACATCTGCAAGAAACGTTTGACACACTGAGGGAGCACAATATGAAGCTTAACTCCGAGAAGTGTGCGTTCGGGGTCGGATCAGGTAAATTCTTAGGATTCCTGGTCTCACAAAGAGGAATTTAGATGAATACCGACAAAATCAAAGCCATAGAAGACATCCCGGATCAACTATTCAACGTAAAGGAAGTACAGAGACTCACTGGCAAATTGGCAACTTTGAGCAGATTCATTTCATGGTCATCGAAAAAGTGTCATCGCTTGTTCGCACCGCTCAAAAAGAAAAATAACGTCGAGTGGACGCCAGAGTGTTGGCAAGCCTTGAAGGAATTGAAGAAATACTTGTCAAGCCCTCCGCTACTCTCGAAACCTAAAGAAGGAGAAACATTGTTAGTTTACCTGGCGGTCTCAGAAGTTGCGGTAAGCACCGTTTTAGTCCGGGAGGAAAAAGGTACGTAATTCCCCACATATTACATTAGCAAAATTTTAACGGGAGAAGAAACCCGCTACCCACATCTGGAAACGTTGGCCTTAGCTCTCGTGGTAGCCGCCCAAAAGCTGAGGCCCTACTTCCAATGCCACCCGATAACTGTGGTAACTGCTTTTACTTTGAGGAATATACTCCATAAACCCGAACTCTCGGACAGATTGGCCAAATGGGCCGTTCAAATGAGCGAGTTCGGCATAGAGTATAAGACGAGAACAGCGATTAAATCACAAGCCCGGGATTCTGGACCTTATCCACGGATGGAGCTTCAAACGTGAAAGGTTCCGGGCTCGTAATAGTCTCGATCACACCTTCGGGGGAAACCTTAAATCAAGCCATCAGAATGATTCCTCTAACTAACAATGAGGCAGAGTGTGAAACTTTGATTGCAGGTCTCAAATTAGCCTAGGGACTTGACCCCAAAGCCGTCAAAGTAAAATGTGATTCACAGTTGGTGGTAAATCAGGTCTACGAAAGTTTGGACACCAAACAAGAGCGTATGCAACAATATGTAGTAATGGTTCAGGCTTTACTGACAAGATTCTGGGAGTGGTCAATAACCCACATCCCGAGGGAAGAAAACACGTAAGCATATGCATTAGCAAATCTGGGCTCATCAATAGAAATCCAAGGACCGGAATCAGGTATAGTTGTACAACTGATGAACTCAACCTTGGACACAGATGGTTATTACGATGTAAATTCGACTAATCTTGTTTGGGACTAGAGAAATGAGATAATTAATTACCTCGAGCATGGAAAGTTGCCCGAAGACCCCAAAACATCGAGAGCATTGCGCACCCAAGCCGCACGCTATAGCTTCAACGAAGGCCAATTGTACAGAAAAGCCTTTCAAGGCACGTTGGCCCGGTGCTTAGGTGCATCAGAAGCCAATTATATCATTAGAGTAGTCCATGAAGGGATATGCGGCAACCACTCGAGCGCAGATTCTCTAGTGCTGAAGTTGGTCCGAGCAGGATATTACTGGCCCTGTATAGAACAAGATGCCAAAACATTCATACAAAAATGTGATAAGTGCCAACGCCACGCACCACTAGTACATCGACCAGCAGAACCCCTGCATTCAGTTCTGTCCCCATGGCCATTCATGAAATGGGGAATAGACATCATCGGACCATTACCACCGGCTCCTCGGAAGGTTCGGAATACCGAAAGAGATTACATGTGACAACGGGCCACAATTTATCGGCACAAAAGTCACAAAATTCCTAGAAGATTTGAAGATAAAAAGGATTAACTCTTCACCTTACCATCTGAGCACAAACGGCCAAGCGGAGTCAACAAACAACAATTATGCAAAACCTGAAGAAAAAGTTTGAAGCAGCAAAAGGCCATTGGCCCGAAGTATTACCTGGAGTGTTATGGGCCTATCGGACAATGTCCCTCAAGCACAGGAGAAACCCCATTTTCCCTTGTGTACGGCACATAAGCTTTAATACCGGTGGAAGTAGGGGAGCCAACCTTAAGGTATTTGGAGGCAGACGAAGAATCAAATAACGAGGTGATGCTAATCAACTTAGAACTGCTCGAGGAACGTAGGGAATTAGCGCATGTCAGACTGGCGGCCCCAAAGACGAGAATTAAGCGATATTATAATCAAAGAACCAACCTTCGTTACTTAAAAGTAGGAGACTTGGTCTTGAGGAAAGTGACTCAAAATACCCGAGAACTCAATGCCGGCAAGTTAACTTCTATATGGGAAGGCCCTTAACAGGTTTCTGCTATCACCGGTAAAAGGTCATATGAGTAGGAAAACCACAACGTGAGACAAGTTGCCCAACAACTGGAATATGGCTCATCTCAAAATATATTACTGCTGGCAAACAACAGTCAAACATTAATCAGACGGAAAGTATGTGTTGCACTCTTTTATACTTCTTTCTGCTTTTTATCCTAATTGGGTTTTTTCAGGCAAGGTTTTTTAACGAGGCAGTGACCACCAGCATACTACAAAAACAACAGTAATAAGACCTTTGATGACAAGGCAAAACAAACAAGTCTCCACTCGAGGACGATAAGGTAACCTTTGCTTCGGTAGCATATTCCCACCGTGAAGTTAAGTTTGCAATCGAACAAGGGTTACACGATCGTTCACGAGCACAAACCACTAGGGGATTGTCAGGTATTCTTTCGCTCGACAGCATGAATTCCTAAGGGGAACCTTCGAAGATACAAGATTTCCAGTGTTCCAACGCGCATTCTTCGCATTGAAACACTGGGGGATAATGATATGATTACAAGGCAACTCTAAATTCCACGTCAACCGGGAACGAAAATCCTGCAAGGCAACTCTAAATTCCACGCCAACCGGGAACGAATGTGGCAAGGCAACTATGAATGCCAGGTCAATCGAGAATGAAAATCTGGCAAGGCAACTCTGAATTCTACATCAACCAGGAACGAATATCCGCCAAGGCAATACTGAATGCCATACGCCGTCGGGACTGGGGACTGCACAGATAACCCCGTAAGAACAAGTTGTACAAGATAGCCACAACTCATGGCAACTTGTTTTCTATGAAGCAAAATGCCTATGTAAACTATTAAAGCAGAAGGAATGAAATGAAATCCTTTTGCTTTTATCTTGTTTCTTGTCTGAACGATAAGCTAATTTTTTCATTTGAAAGTTAAATAAGTACTTCAAATGTTAGTTCCATAATGAACAGGAAACGTCCTCTTCAAGAGCACCGTAAACAATAGAGGGCCCTCTCTTATTAAAACCCTCATGTTAAAGGGTTTGTTCCGGAAGAATATATGCCCAGAACCGAAAATGCTATCGGGAAAAATACACCCGAAGCCATATATGAAAATGACGCAAAAACCAAACTTGCGAAAATACTTATTGAAACCCTCAAGTAAAAGGGATAATTCTCGACAACAAAAGTGCATCGAAGAAAATGTACATGTGACCACATGCAGAAAAAGAGGAAGACATGCACAAGGGTTAAAAAACTTGCACAGATATCCAAGCAAGGTAAGACTCAGCCAAATAGTTGAGCAACAATACGTCTTTATTTACAAGGATGTACCAAAACGAAATACAAAATGGGGAAAGAAAGAGCTAAGCTACAGCATCACTGGAATAGGGAGGAAGAGAAGTATCCATATACCCGGGAGCAGTAGGTGGTGTCATCGATGGCTTAACATCTTCTACAACTGGGTCTTCGGCATCATCGCCTTCCGATTCCTCTTCAGTATCATAAATATCGAAACCAGAATCAGAAGGACCGGGAGTGTCAGACCGCGCTGGGAGTCCATTCTTTGCAGCTAATTCAAGCTCGTGTGCCTTAGCAATTTCAGCGTCAATATCAATAATGCCAGTTTTGGCTGCGTCCAAGGTTTTACTCCTCATGTTGTACATGGCATAAGTTTTTTCAACAATAAGGGAAGCCTCCTGGTGCCTGAGTTATTCTTTGAGTTGAGTGATCTCGGCAAAAAGATTGTC